CCCCTGAAAAAGGTTGGAAGCCTGAGGATGATCTTGAGTTAGTCCCCCTGATCCTGGCCCGCCAGACAAAGAAGCGCAGGTTGGCTCGGGACAGAACCTAAACAAGAAGAATTGAGACGAGGGAATCCGCCCGGAAGGCTCCCCTGAAGAAGGTTGGAAGCATGAGGAAGACGTTGAGTTAGTACCCCTCGATCCTGACCAGCTAGATAGAAAAGCGCGGATTGGCTCGTGCCTAAGCCTAGACGAGAAGGGAGATCGACATGCTTAGCATCGACCCAAACATCATCTGCCACCGGCTCCATGTCAACCCCGCCAACAAGCCAGTGGTGCAGAAGAGACACAACTTCTCTCTCGAGCGAGTTGCAATCATTGAAGTTAAGATTGATAAGCTCCTAGCTGCCGGCTTCATCGAATAGGTCTCATACTTAGAGTGGCTAGCCAACGTTGTTCTAGTAGTGAGACAAGAAAAGGACAAATGAAGAGTTTGAGTCGATTACACCGACCTTAACAAAGCATGGCCTAAAGACAACTTCCTATTGCCGAGAATCGACTAGCTCGTGGATTCAACTTCCGGCAATTAGTTACTCAACTTCATGGACGCCTACTCAAGCTATAATCAAATCCTTATGCATGAGGATGACAAGGCGAAGACCTCTTTCATTATCGAGAGAGGGACCTACTGCTACATGGTCATGCTCTTTGGGTTGAAGAACGCCAGAGCAACCTACCAAAGGCTCGTGAATAAAATTTTCAAGGAGTAGATCGTCAAAACCATGGAAGTCTAAGCGGAGGACATGCTGGTCAAAACCCCTGAGCGTGCAGGTCACATCAAGAACCTCACTGAGGCATTCAGCTTGCTCCGTCAGTATCACATGAAGCTGAATCCAAGTAAAAGCACTTTCAATGTATCATCCAACCGGTTCCTGGGATACCTAGCCACTCAATGAGGTATGGAGGAGCACCCATGCTAATCAAGGCAATTCTTGAGATGAAATCACCTTCAACAGTGAAGGAAATACAAAGTCTGATGGGTAGACAAGTGCATACCATTCTTTAAAGCTTTGAAGAATGGACAAAAAGACAAGTGGGATGAGAAGTGCGAAGTAGCTTTCCAGAATCTAAAGACTTACCTAACTTTACCTCTCTTGCTCTCAAAGCTAGTTCTTGATGAAGACTTGTTTGTGTATCTGGCAATGTCCAACTCGGTTGTCAACTGAGCTCTTATTAGAGAAGAACTGGAGGCCCAACATTCAGTATTCTAAATCCTTTGAGATCAATCCTCCACAGCCCTGACGGTGCTCAACGACTCATGAAGTGGACTATAAAACAAAGCCAATACGACCTCCTCTACCGGCTGAAGATTGCAATAAAGGCCTAGGCTTTAGTAGACTTCGTCGCAAAATTCACCCCATCGGCCGAAGAGGAGAAGCTGGTCAACAAAAAGAAGGAAAGTTCAAGAGCGGACAAGACCTCCGCCGAACCTGACGAACCCAGAGACATGTGGCAGTTGAGCGTAGACGAAGCGTCAAACCAAAAAGGAGCTGGAGTAGGCGTCGTCATCATCACCCTGGATGGAACCCTGTTGAAGCGAGCTATCACGCTTGGCTTCTTGGCCTCAAATAATGAGACAGAATATGAGGCATTGCTGGTTGGCTTGCACTTGGCAAAGGAGCTATCAATCAATAAGCTGGCCATCAACTCAGATTCCCAACTGATCACAAATCAAGCCTCAGGAGAATACATAGCGAAGCACCCATGGATGATCTTGTACCTTGATAAAGTCCAAGAGCTGTTGAAGGCATTTCTTACCTTCACCATCCAACAAGTGCCCCGAACAAAGAATGCGTACGCAGACGCACTGGCAAGCCTAGGATCAGCGCTAGATACCCAGTTCAGACTCTCCATCTCAGTCGAGCACCTTGACCAACCAAGCATAGAAGAGACAGAGTAGTCGGACTTAATGCAGATCGATGGGGATCCTAGCTGGTAAGACCCTATCATTGACTACCTAGTGAACAAAAACTTGCCCAAGGACAAGTTCGAGGTTAGAAAATCAAATAGAAAGCTACCAGATATTACATGAAAGACGACATGCTCGTTCGCAGATCATACTCCGACCCTCATCTTACGTGCATCAAGTACCTGCAAACGCTCAAGGTTCTCTACAAAATACATGACGGTGAATGTGGGAATCACGTTGGGGGCATATCGCTTGCCCAGAAAGCTCATAGCATAGGCTATTTTTGGCTTACCATGCGCCAAAACTCCACGGAGTATACTCGAAGATATGATCCATGCCAATGCTATAAGCCAATCCCTAGCCTGCCAGCTGAGGAACAATCCATGGCCGTTCATGTAGCGGGCCATTGACTTGGTGGGACTTATGCTGTCATCACCTGCCAAGAAATAGATGATGATCTTCGCTACTAATCACTTCACCAAATGGATCGAGGCCGAGGCTCTACTAAAGAAGCTGACGTCGAACGATTTATCTGGAAGAACATCATCTGCCGATTCAGTTGTCGATAGTCACCGATAATGGTACACAGTTCGTGGGCATTAGATCACCACATTCTTTACGAAGTATGGCATCAAGCAGTACTCGTCAACTCCCAAATATTGGCAAGGCAATGGTCAAGACGAGGCATCCAACAATTTCGTGTTGGACTGCTGAAGAAAAGATTGGAAGGCATAGAAGGAAAATGGGTCGACAAGCTGCCAGGAGTCCTATGGGCTTATCGCACAACCAAAAGGAGATCGACAGACAAGACACCATTTTCCCTGGCCTATGGGATAGAAACAATCATCCCCCCTCACATCACTGTTCCTTCAATGAGCATTGAGGTGGGCAGTCTTCACCAGAACTGCAAGCAGATGAAAGTCAACCTTGGTCTGCTTGAAGAAGAACGAGAAATGCCATTGTTCGAGTTGCAGCATACCAACAGCAGCTGACATCTTACTACAACAAAAAGACCATTTTTCAAGTTGTAGCTTACCACCAGCAGCTCACATCTTACTACAACATGAATACCATTGTTTTAGTTGTAGCATACTAGCAACAACTGGCATCTTACTATAACAAGAAGGCCATTGTTCGACTTGCAGCTTACCAGCTCAACTCCAAGCAGGCGACGAGCCACCCTTACCTCTATTGAAGACAAGCTACTTCCCGATTACAAACTCAATGAAGTCTTTTTTGAGAGCTATGTCCCCAACATACAAATGCAGGCGACAAGCCTTACCTCCATGGAAATCAGCTACTTCCTGAGTACAAAATCTATGGAGTCTTTTTTGAGCGCTATGTCCTCGACATATGCACGTAGGCAACAAGCCTTACCTCTATTGAAGGCAAGATACTTCCCAAGTACAAACTCAATGGAGTCTTTTTCGAGCACTATGTCCCCGACATACGCATTCAAGCGACAAGCCTTACCTCCATTAAAAGCAAGCTACTTCCTGAGTACAAACTCAGTAGAGTTTTTTTCATACAGAAATAAAAACCAACGAAAACAAAAACAAAAACACTCAAAGTAATCTAACTATAGCACCATCGTTACCGGTTCCCCGGCAACGGCGCCAAAAACTTGTTGAGCCTATTCCTAACAACTAAAATGAGTTATTAAAAATAGCAACTTCAATTCTCGCAAGTGCACGAACCATTTATAGTATAGCTTATGGAATACGAGGTCGATCCCACGGAGAATGGTAACTTGGTTGCAAGTTAAACTACTTAGAATGATGGATAAACTGAAAACAAAGAAACAAACTAACTAACAATTGGCAAGGTCTAGGACAGAATCCTAGCACCACACATGCACTCGAATGGGGGGTTTTTGTTGTTTAAATGAAACCAAGAGAATGAAATGGAAGTGCTGGAAGTAAACAATGGCAGCAATCAACGAGTTGTGAAACAATGATTGAGAAGTGTTAGAGCCTTGGAATCTACCACTAGTCTTCCTATCCAAGTTATGAATGCATAGAAATTGACTCAAGCTTCATTAACAATAGATTATCGCATATAAGCCTATGGTATCTAGGTGCAGGATGCATGATTCTCCTAAGGCATGTAATTGTGGATGGTATCTACACAACACGTGATCTCTAATATGCAACCTAAGCATGGTTTCTACTTAGAATAAAGCATATAAGAGTCATTAAGTTCCTTGAGATTATGATAATCACACAAGTCCTAGAACATGGTATCTGTCCTAGTCAACTTATGGTTATTAACCCCTTGAATGATTCTTAGGCCATTCATGTGTTGCTTGTGAAAGGAGAGTAGAATTGGTGAATCTAAACCCCTTCCCAACCTGTGCTAGATGCATAAAATCCTAGTTAGCTACTCCAAGAAAACATACATCAAGCACATAATAAGCTGGAGATTAACAACTTGATAATGAAAGCAAGGAAATCAATTAACTATGAAATCATCCATAACATTGAATATTCATGACTAGGGCTTCATCCTAAGCCCTAACAAAATGGATTAGTTAAACATAATTATGAATACAGAAGATAAGAAATACATAGGTCGAATAAAGAGAATAGAAGAACTAGCTGGTGGCAGCAAGGTAGTTTCCAGGACAGCTCCCAGCTCTCCCTCCTTTGCAGCTAGCTCTCTCTCTCTCTCTTTGTGGTGAATCTGAATGTGTGTATGGAAGTAATGGATGAAGTGAATTGTGTCTGGGATGTGGAATGGAAGTGGTATTTATAGGGAGAAGGCAAGGGGAATTCTGAATTGAATATGACTAATGCATACAACACTTGTATTTAGATCATCAGAATTGGTTGCTGCACTAATAAATCCCACTAGCAGCCATAGGTCATCTTCATGTCAGCATGATGTGTATTTTGATGGGCTCACGGATTGGGTTTGGCTGAATCCAAATATGACTTTTAGATATCCATTTTGAAGTTCAGAATGTCTCTGATCCAACCACACAAGTATTGGCCCAATCCAAGCTCAGATGAAGAAGATAAGTCCGAAATGAACTTCTAACTCAATATCCAGTTTTTGCACGTTTTGCACCATTTTGCTTCAAAAGCAATCTCTTGCTGCCTTCAACCTATAGAACACACAAACATAGGTAAGTGACTTGAAATAAAGAGAAACTAAACAAAATTACTAAGTAACGAAGGCATGCAAATGTGTGAAATTATGAACTTATCAAATACCCCCAAACTTAGACTTTGCTAGTCCTCGAGCAGACAAAACAAAACTACAACTTAGAAAACAGAAAATAAGCAGCTAGCCTTCCAAACAATATCCTCAAAGAATCACCAAAGTATATGGTTCCAAAGAAACACAACAATCACAATCTAAGTTCCACACATGACTCAGAATGTGCAAAGGTTACAATGACATCCTTAAGTGTAGTGTGTGAATGCCAAATCAGAACAACACCTGCAACTCAAATAAGTACATGCGCACACACTTAAAGCACAATCAAGAATTTCGAGCCCCATAAGCTCATTATGAAATCAGCTCTCCACAGTAATACCACACATTACCAAGGATCAAAAGGACTTTACAAGGGTTGTAATGAGGCTTAGGGTAGTGGTTGAATGAAAGAGGAGACATGGAGATATAACAACATTTTGAGCACAACTAAAGCATAGGTAAAAGCATGAGAGATTATTGAACTTTGTAACAAGCAAGGAACACATACATGAGCAGATTTTCAACATAATTTTAGCACCTTCAAATGTGTTAATTTGGCCTAATTTTGTGGCTCTTTACCCTAGATCACCATGATCTTTCCTTATAACACCCTAGGGCCGTGACTACATTGGTCACACTTCATTACCTCTTTTGATTAGTTACCAATACCCCCAAACTTATTTCTTTTCAACACTTGGGTTATGGCACTAATGAATCACTTTTGCTCTATAAACCTTGCATCTTTATGACTCTCTTTTGAAGATAGCTTTAATTGCTCAAAGAATAGGTAAAGATAAGAAACAGAGATTTATTATGGTAGAAATGGTTTTACACAAAGAAAGGCTTAACGTAGGCTCAAATGGGTTGACTAAGGATGAATACATGTAGAGGGATGGTTAGAAAAGCTCAAATGATTTAAACATGGCCTAAATCACTTCCTAAGCATTGTATGGCAGCAAGATGTCTCAAGAGATATTCAAATAAGTTCTAGAGTACGAAACCAAGATCATGAAATAAGTAGAATTGCATAACGTCTCTAAGTAGCAAGAAATTGGACTAACTTGGCAAAGTGCTCAATAAGTGCAAGGATGGCATGCAAGACAAAGTTAACTCAGAACCACATAAAGGCCTTAAATAATGACTATCAATTTCTGAAAAACCATATTAAAGTTAAATCCAAGTCTTATCATAGGTGTTTGGAAGGATAACGAAACAACACACAAAATCCTGCGTTTTTACACACTAGACACACTTAAAAATTTAAAATTTTTAAAATTTTGACAATTTCAAACAACATAACTACATCCTTCCCCCCAAACTTAAATGAAACATTGTCCTCAATGTTTAGAGTATAAGAACAAGCAATGCCTCATAAATGAAAGGAAAGAAGATAAGGAGAAGACATAACCAAATGTTAGAATTTAGAAAACAACTTCCCTTTGAAGTGATTAGGACGCAAGCAGCTTCTTGCACTTTCTATCTTCTCCTCATCACCTTGGGTTGCCTCCCAAGAAGCGCTAAGTTTCATGTCTTCAGCCGGACATCCAAACTTGCTATAGTGAATGGGGGGGTTTGGGCTCAATCGACACCTCATGCACTGCAAGATTGTTCACCAAGCTTGTTTTCTTTTTCCATCGCTTCCTTGCTGCTTTCCTTTTCCTTTTATGATTATGAACATAATGGCAATGAACTGGAGGAGTGATTGGAGTATCTCCAAATTTGGGCAGCCCCTTCTTGTGTGTAGGAATTGTAGCATTGAACATGTGGGCAGCCCCCTGCTCCTCCTTGTCTACTCCTTGCAGCAAGCATGCTTCTAGTGAATATGGAAGACCATCAAATCTCTCTTTCCCTGGATCACCCAATACTTCAATTTGAAAACAATCTTGAACATCATTTGGCAGATTCGTGGCATCAAACACTTTGAAAGCAACAGTTTCTCCATTAACGGTCATGGTGAGAGTGCCTTGCGCTACATCGATCGTGGTCTTAGCAGTAGCCATGAAGGGTCGGCCAAAGATGAGGGGCAATTCATTGTCAGGAATTGGTGCTTCTTCCATCTCCAAGACTAAGAAATCAGCTGGCAAGATTAAGCCTTCGACTCTCACCAAAACATCTTCTAGAATGCCCTTGGGGTACCTAATAGTTCTATCTGCCAATTGAATGCTCACAGATGTGGCTTGCAACTCACCAAGGTTAAGTTTCTCATAAACATGATATGGCATAAGGTTAATGGATGCACCAAGATCAAGCAAAGCTTTTTGAAACTTAAAATCTCCAACTATACAAGGTATAGAAAACGAACCTGGATCCTTTAGCTTTTGAGGTAGCTTTCTTTGTAACACTGCACTTACCTCTTCACTTAATGCAACCTGTTCATGCTCTGTGAATCTCCTCTTGTTAGTGCATAGATCCTTCAAAAAAATTGCATATTTTGGAATCTGAGCAATGGGATGTTGATTTGCACCTTCTTGAATATTTCCATTATCTCATCCAAGCCTTGATCTTTCTTTGACTTTGATAACCTGCTGGGAAAGGGTGCAATAGGCCTAAAAGCATTAGATGAAATTGGAACTTGATTAGCATTAGATGATACCTTAGGGCCTGTGCTCTTTCCTAGAGAATTAAGGGGCTGTTTGGTGGAATCTGTGGGCTGCCATTGTGGTGGCTGAATGATCTCCACGTTTTCTCCCTCTCCTTCCTCTTCATGGGCATCTCCAACCTTATTATCAACTTGTTTACCACTTCTCAAGATGTGCACTGCTTTAACTTGCTCATGATGCCTTGGATTCACCTCCGTTTGGCTTGGAAAAGTTCCGGATGCTCTATTGCTCATGGAGGATGCAATCTGCCCAACTTGCACTTCTAGTTTGTTCACTGCATTTTGAAGATTCTGATTGGTTTGCATCTGTTGCCCCATGAACGTCTTGAACATGTCTTGCAATTCTCCCATTTGATCACCCCTTTGGTCCCTTTATCCTTGCACTTGTTGGGGAGCTTGCTGGAATTGCCTTTGTTGTATTTGGAATCCTGGGGGAGGTCCTTGAGATTGTTGCACATTTGAATTATTGCTCCACCTGAAATTAGGATGATTTCTCCACCCCGGATTGTACGTGTTTGAGTAAGGATCATTCTGAGGATTTCTTCCTTGAAGGGCATTTGCTTGTTCTAGCACGTCCGCAAAAGATTGGCCTTGAACTTCCACTTTGTTTCCTAGAGGGCCAGTCACTGCCTGTTGAAGCAAAGAACACATAACATCAAGTTTTGCATTAATCTCATTATTAGTACTTACCTCAGAGACCACAGCTTTCATAGGAGCTCCTCTTTCTTTATTGTAGCTCCATTGTTGAGAGTTGGTACTCAAAGATTCAAAGAGAGTAAAAGCCTCATCTGCTGTTTTGTTCATCAGTCCTTCTCCACTTGTTGCATCTACCATCATCCTTTCGGAATCAAGCAAACCTTCATAGAAAGATTGCATTTGCATCCAACTCTCTATATTGTGGTGTGGGCAAGAACTCATCATCTCCTTGTACCTCTCCCAGCATTCATGGAAAGCTTCTCCTTCTCCTTGCTTGAAACCAAGAATTTCCTTTCTAATCTTGTTAGTCTTTTGAGCTGGAAAGAATTTCTGCAAAAACTTATTAGAAAGCTCATCCCAAGTACGAATTGAAGCATTAGGCAAAGAGTATAACCATGACTTAGCCTTATCTTTTAAACTGAATGGGAATAGCCTCATCTTAATCTGCTCATCATCAAGTCCTTGAATTTTGATTGTAGCACATATTGCAAAGAATTGCTTAACATGCATGTAAGGATCCTCAGTGGTATTACCATAATAAGTTGGAAGAAGATGAATCATACCACTTCTAAGCTCAAACCTGTCAATTGTGAGTTGAGGATAGACGATGCACGAAGGTTGATCAGTGACTTTGGGGATGGAAAATTCACGCAGGGGTTTCCGGGGTTGGACAACAAGTGCACCACCTCCTTCATCATTATTGTTGTTGTTTGGAATCTCTGCCATCTTGCTTGAACCTTCAGATTCGTAGCTCTCAGATTCACCACTTGAAGAACTATAATTCCTCCTCAAACCAACACGTATAGCAAAAGTTCCTGGTGAAATTGGCTCAGAATCAGATTCGAACATATATGCATACACAAGAACCAAATTAGTGTCTTCAAATGGAGATAACAACTAAAAAGAAAAACAGAATACAGAAAGAAAAACCAACGAAAATAACAACTAAAACAAAAACACTCAAAGTAATCTAACTATAGCACCATCGTTACCGGTTCCCCAGCAACGGCGCCAAAAACTTGTTGAGCCTATTCCTAACAACTAAAATGAGTTATTAAAAATAGCAACTTCAATTCTCGCAAGTGCACGAACCATTTATAGTATAGCTTATGAAATACGAGGTCGATCCCACGGAGAATGGTAACTTGGTAGCAAGTTAAACTACTTAGAATGATGGAAAAACTGAAAACAAAGAAACAAACTAACTAACAATTGGCAAGGTCTAGGACAGAATCCTAGCACCACACACGCACTCGAATGGGGGGTTTTTGTTGTTTAAATGAAAACAAGAGAATGAAATGGAAGTGCTGGAAGTAAACAATGGCAGCAATGAACAAGTTGTGAAACAATGATTGAGAAGTGTTAGAGCCTTGGAATC